GCCCCCACCTGCTCTGCCCCAGGGGACCCCGATTCAGCCGCTGCTGAAACAGATCAGTGGCTGATTCCAGGAAGCCCGGAGCAGAGCAGCTCTGCCCCAGGCTTCCTGTAGTCAGCCGCTGGTCAGTTTCAGCAGCGGCTGAATCTGGACGCCAGTTCCGACTTACATACAAATTCAACTTAAGAACAAACCTACGGTCCCTATCTTGTACGTAACCCGGGGACTGCCTGTACTTGAAAAACCCCTCTCATGTCCCCTCTCAGTCTTCTCTTCTCCCAACAATACAAGCCCAATTCCTTCAGTCTTCCCTCATTAATGTAGAAGACATGAGCTTTAATAATCATTCTCGTTGCTCTTCTCTGGACTTTCTCCAATTTCTCCACATCTCTCTTGAAATGCGGTGCCCAGAACTGGACACAAGACTCCAACGGAGGCCTAACCAGCGCAGAGCAGAGTGGAAGAATGACTTCTCGTGTCTTGCTCACAACACTCCTGTTAATGCAGCCCAGAATCACGTTTGCTTTTTTTGCAACCGTGTCACACAGTTGACTTGGATTTAGCTTGTGATTCGCTTTGATCCCTAGATCCCTTTCTGCAGTATCCTACCCTGACAGTCGCTTCCCGTTCTGTATGTGTGAAACTGATTGTTCCTTCCTAAGTGGAGCACTTTGCATTTGTCCTTATTAAACCTTATCCTGTTTACCTCAGACCATTTCTCCAGTTTGTCCAGATCCTTTTGAATTATGACCCCATCCTCCAGATTAGTCACAACCCCTCCCAGCTTGGTATCATCTCAAACTTAGTAAGTGTACTCTTTATGCTGATATCTAAATCGTTGATGAAGATACTGAACAGAATCGGAACCAAACCAGAGCCCCGTGGTACCCTATTTGTTATGCCCTTCCAGCATGACAGACACCAGTAACGAGGGATGTAAAGGTGCAGTCGATTAACCGATTAGCAAGAGGGTATCCATTAACGTTATAGACTACACACAATCCCCCACCCCTACCAATGCATTTTTTAGCAAGCTGGCCAGCAGCCCAGCTCAGTCCCGGCTTGTGACGGGTCTGGGACCTACCTTGGCTGTGGCTCTCCAATTCAAGTGTATTAGGAGCCGGGCGGACAGGCAGCCCAGCTCCGTTCTGGCTTGCACTGGGTCCGGGAGCTCAGACAACTCCCTACACAGGGGCTGCTGCCACCCCACAGCACTGCCTCTTTATCAAAGGTAGCACAGGGGACGGGCAGCCAGTCCGCAAGGGGAGCAGGTTTTTAAACTGTCCCCCTTTGCAGAGCCGCCACCTGGCCCCCCACACTGCTCTGTCTGATACAGGGCTCGTGTCAGGAGTGAGGCCGGAGGCACTGGCTGCCGGCCGGCCCCAGGCACTTCAGACTAGTCACTAACCAGGAGAATTCGTGTGGTTACTC